GAAAAAATATTAAAAAATGAAATAAAAAAAATCCCCCATCGCTGCGTTGTTAAAAGTTCACATCTTCCCACGGGCTGGCCCTGGGGAAGGGGCGCCCAGCTCTCGGCTCCCGTGTTGTGGTACGTTAAAAATCAATCTCCTTGCAATTCGTCTGCTCTGTCATTAGGCGTCATTGTAAAGCTATTTCTCCAGAAACCGCCGAGAGAGATTCTTGGTGCTGGGGAAAAGACAGTGTCAACAGAAAGAGGGAGAAATTGGGGTTTTTATTTGGATAAAATGCAGAATACTACTTCATTCGGGCGATTATTCCCACTGCAAACATTAACTAGGAAAACACTTCACTAAGCCCTCGCTGCTGTGTGGTCAGACCATTTTTTTCCGTAACGCCTTGAGATTAAGGTTACGTTAAGCAGCGTGCCGGTCCTCGGTTCCAGAGACAAACCGTACCGCCGGCGCCCCCGGAAAGCAGCTGCCCTGCCTTGCGATGGAAGGTAACGCCGTGCGCTTCGCCGCCGTGGCCCCGCAGGCTGGAGAGCTGCCCAACGTCAAGTTGCAGAACCTTAACGGATCCATCGCTGCTCGCCAGAGCCACGAGACGCCCTGAAATTCAAAGGGCAGTTACCGAGGTTTGCAAAGGCAAAGGGGGAGAGAGGCACTGGAAGTTTTGAGAGCGTCGCTTTAAAGACACCCACGTTTTGCAGACTCCCGTTTTCTGAGATAAATTATCAGAAAGTTGGATGGATCAACAATAATGAGATTGGATTTTGGAGTGATTAAGTGAATCTGGAGACCGGGCATGTAGGAGCATGCCTATTTTACTTATATTTGGATACAACTGTTCAGGGCCAGTTTCTGACACACATCCTGAGCACCGGAGAAGTAGATGCTCTTCTGATACCTGGAGGTATCAGCATCAGACCATGCCTTAACGCTGCTTCTCTTGTGCAGCACTGTAAGAAATGAAGATGCAGGTTTTTAAGTGAATTTCAGGGAGGTCAGGCACCTAACTGGACTGAGTGCCTTGCTCCCTTTGTATCCTTATGGAAAAAATAACCATAATGAAATTGTTGGTATAGAATTGGGTCTAACAGTAGAAATAATTAAAGAAAACCTGAAGAAGGCTCTAAGGAGTTCCCAGGTTCCCTGTGTTTGTTTATGAACCAAACGGACTCCGTTTTCATCACTCTCAGTGAGGCAGGATGTGTTGATAAGTTTATTACCTTCCGGCTTAAATAAAAGCAGAGGTAACAGTCGGTAAGTGAGATGTTTGAAGCACCTTTTACTTATCCAGCCACCAGCTAAAGACTCCCCCCTTTTAGAAATTAATTATAATGAGTTTTTAAAGAAAAAAAAAAAAAAAAAAAAAAGGCAAAAAAAAAAAAAGAAAAAAAAAGAAAAAAAAAAAGAAAAAAAAGAAAAAAGAAGAAAAAAAAAGAAAAAAAGAAAAAAAAAGAAAAGGATCAATACATCTGTTTCACAGCTGACACGGCCCTCCCCACAACGGGATCACTGTACTGCCAGTCATGCTTTTGGTCAGACACCTTCTTCTATGAGGAGCAAGTTCAATGTACCCTCCAAATGATTACAGCTCTTACTGTATCAGGACTTTCTCTCTGGAAAGCAAAGACATCACCAGCAGAGGAATAGTTAAGATTGACACTGACAAAGTCAATCTGGCACAGAGGTCATAATTTTTGGGAAGATTATGAAAAAACAAGAGATATTTTACTGTTTTTAGTCATTCAGGTTATTCGCCAAGTAGCCAATGGGCACATATTGCCCAAGAGGAGTTAGTAAGGAGGACTCTGTCCCAATTTTAATAATATGCAAGCCGTAGGGCCTTGGGCGTGCCTATGTGATACATAGTTTATCCAGGGAATCTATTGTTCCTCCATTCCAACTAATTCATAACAATGACGTTCTCCGCTCTGCTCATCGAGAGCTGTTGGCTTCATCTGACAGCCCAGAACGTAAACAACTGCCATTTTCTCCATTTATCACAGAAAACACATAGTCTAAAACATCTTACAAATGCATTGAGAATATTTAATCACAAGCTACGCTCAGCGTGGTCATGGACATTTGTGCAAGAAAGGGAGCTAGAAAGTAGCACTAACCATGATAAATATGCCCTATTTGCAAACCTTTATAACCACCCGGCTTCTTCATCTAGAACAAAGCCTGACACAGCAAAGATCTGTAGGATGGATTAGAGTGTCCAAAGCAGCAGATGTGAATATTTATTATAAACTCTCTTCCAGCAAGTCTTTGCTGACAGAAGCATTGCATATGGATTTCACTTGCAGCCAGACTCTCCAGGCAATCGTTGGGATGACTTCTCCAGGAGCCAAACAAATGCCATTTCGCCTGGAGCCCTGACACTGCAACAGCTGGGCAGGGGGTTAATGTCACTTCCAGCTTCTTAAAACCAGTAACGAATCCATTCGTTAAAAAGAGAGAGGGACGGAAAGGAGAAAGATTTGGATGACTGCAGTTGACTTCCAGAAAGTAAGGGCAGGACAGACCGATAACCACCACCAGCAGCTTCAGTGTCTAATTCACGCCCCCCAGCTTTGGCAGCAGGGCAGGAGCAGACCCCGATGGTGCGTTTTTCTAAGCTCTTCGCTATTTTTATTTAGTCATACACCTGAATCAAAACAACAGGACTCCTTCCGGTCAGTCCATGCCAATATTCTGACAGTACTGGGAAATGACAAAACCAACAGGAAAATAGAGAGGGACAACAAAACCCAACTAGCTAAGAGGTGCTACAGTAAACTGCACGTGCCTTCACCGCTAGTGCTCGCCGGGGACTGGGTTTAGGTGTACGAGGCAGCCCCGGTGAAGAATGAGTCAGTTCATATGAATTTTTGTTAGCCGAGTTACGATGTGTTACTGTCGTTGACTGTGAGTGCAGCAACCTCCTTGCTGGGTAGCAGCAGGGTGCGCAGGCAAACGCATGCGAGAGGGAAAGGGGAGGCGAACACTCAAAATGAGAACATCTCGTTTCCGTCACCCTTTATGTCAACACTGATCTATGCACTCATAACAATTTGCTCATTATAATGTAAATTTACTCCCTCTTTCCAAAAGGAGATGTTTCGTTTCGGAAAGAGGGAACAAATTGTGGTTTATTGCTCTTTCAAAACGTTCTCCAATTAGGAAAGCAAACAAAACCTATTACATAATTGTCACGCAAAGCTCTGTTTTTATGAAGGATACTTACTTGTGCACTAACAAAGGCACTTTGATTCAGCACTCAGAGGAAGATAAAAGCCTGGAGATAAACTTTTCTTCATACCTTTGGCCAAACTGCCAGGTGGAGCTGGTCTACACAAACTCGCTGAACTCATCAGTCACACTGATTTGCACTGAAATGAACAGTTTCTGCTTAGAAGATGCAAAGCCTCCAAGAGTCAGACCTCTAGATCTCACGGCCTCTAGACCTCCATCTCATGAGGCTTCCAAAGAACCAGCTCCAGATCTGCTGGTGCAGCTCCGAGATGGGCAACACGGGGAGCTGAAATGAAGCTTTGCTCTGGCTGGCCCCACGCCAGTCCTGAGCTCATCCTTCTTCTTCAAGCTGGCAGACAGGAGTGATGACAAAGCACATTGCCATGACAAAGAGACCCTACGGTAGCAGCCTTTGTACTAATTATCGCTAATTTGCCGTTGCCCATTGCTAGAACATAGGTACTCATTTTTCTGATGTACCTCTATTATGTCCTTAGAATAGCATAAGCTCTGACCATCTGGTCACTCGCTTCAAAAAGGATGCAGTGAGTTAGAAAAGGTAGAGAGAGAAAGGCAGCAAAGGCAATGAAAGCTATAAACAACTTCTGTGCAAGGAATCGCCACGAGCGGTCACGCTTACCCCAGAAAAACTATGTGCACACTAAAATGTACTTGGCTGATCCTGCTTTCTCCATATACAAACTGCAGTCTTCACTCAGCCCCCGCTTCCCTCCCTGGAGACCCACAGAGAAAGCCAGAGCCGAGCCAGACCCCGAACGACCCCCCAGGTGGTGCGGGTAAAACACGGAGTTCCCATTAAATGCCAGCCCGAATCCCAGCTAACCCGGGGCAGCCGGAGCTGTCAGAAGCAGCGCAGTATGGGACATGCTATTTCTAACAGTCGCCTTTCTTCTTGGACAAAACCGAACTTCCTCTGAGGGGTCGGCGCACTTCAGCGCCCTTTTCCCTCCGGCATCCGAGTCAGCTACCGCTGTAGGTTGCCAGTCCCGGCGTCCTCCAGAGAAAAAACTGCTCCTCATCTCACGCGCGCTACCTTGCCAGGCCGCCACTTCCAGACTGGCACTGCTCTTGGGTTTAGGCATTGATTAATTACAAATGCAGTGCTGTTGTTTGGGCTGGAAATACATTTGTACTTAATAAAACAATAAAAATCACCCATGCCCTTCTAGAAAAATTATTCCTGATACTAAAACCGTATCCCTACATTGTTTTGAGACCAGGACTGAACCCTAACATCAATCAGTACCTCAAAAGATGCCATTACTTTTAAGACATGTACCCCACTTTGGAGAATGGGGTAATTGAAATGAATTATCTTCTATGGAAATCCAGCCCTGTAAATTTTCCAAATGTACATACAGTTACAGGCCTAAGAAAGGCCATAGCCATAAAGTGTGAAAAGCAAGAATCTGGCAAAAAAGAAGAAGTAATTTCACTGGAGTCTGCACATTGACCTAAACATGTGAGCTTAAAGTCAAAGTTACTGCATTCGGTGAAGCTCAGTTATTTACATGTGAGCAAGCGACGCGCTTTTTCTCACCCACAAGGAACCTCGCTATGCAAATACTAACAAAACCAAAGCCACTCATGTGAATACAATATGAAAACCATCTCCTAATTTGAACTGGTGGATAAATTTAAAGTTGTACTGGTATATTGAAGCAATCTCATTTGTCACTGCATTTCTTCAGAAGCCCAAACTAGACATGATGAATTTGCCGGGTTGATAGAACCACATTACTTGGGGTAGAGGGAACAAAACCTGTACTTGTCAAAAGCCAGTTTGACAATTTATGTTCCATAAGAGCCTAACAGAAATCACAGCCACGATTACCATCTTCTTTGTAAAGTGAATTTTGAGTGAAACCTTGCCAAGACAACATTAAGTACTCCTTTACTGGTTTATGCGTTCAAACGGCTGGAAACAGGGACACCTTTGGACTGGGAGAGCCTAAAAGCAGACCGGTTTACCGGTATTGGGCTCCGACAGTCAATAAATTATGTTGGTCAAAGCCTTAAGATTTCATCTTGAAACAAGTCACAACTGTAAAGGCTGTCAAGCAGCTGATCTCTCAAACGGTTGGAAACAGAGCCCTCTTCAGAGCGAGCACCCAACAGACCTCACCTGCCCGCCTCGCCCCAGCGCAGCCCGCTCGCGTTGCAGACGTGCTACGTACGCACCCTGCTGAGTCCGAACGAGCCACCGCCAGCGATCCCCATCAGCGAGCCCTTTGCTGACACGTTAAAGCATTACACTTTTCTTCAGGTGAATTAATTTACAAATTACGTAACATTCAATTATCGAATACTCTGAAAATTTCTGGTTTAGCAGACAAGTACTTAAT